AAAACATTAGCATATGAAAGTTTTCATTTCAAAGAAACTTACTTGACTATTGACAGTCGCCATTTGTTTCATACAAGGCGTTGTTAATAGAAGGGTTGTTGTACTTTCACTTGCAGTTGTGCCTTTTAGAAAAACTACATTCACTTTTACTTCCCAAAACTTGCTTTTTTCCACTTACCTAATGATGTCAATAGAGTGCCCATCGTACTACCCAATGTTGTCGTTGGAGTGCCCGTCGTACTACCCAATGCTGTCGTTGGAGCGCCCGTCGTAATACCCAATGTTGTCGTTGGAGTGCCCGTCGTACTACCCAATGTTGTTGTCGATGGAAGCACGCAAGCATATATTGTCAATGTTACATTTTGAATGATGTCCGTGGTCACAGTTGTTGTATCAAAAGTGAGGAAGAGTTCCGAATCTACTGGTACAACGAAATCTTGTGGGAAATGTATGGTTGTTTGTTGTCCACTTGTAGGCGTTGTTGCTTGTCCGCCGATTGAAGACGGTGTCGATTGACCACTTGGTGTCGTGCTGGTTGTGGTTGTCAATGCACCTCCACTAGTAAATACGTCCGATCGTGTGTCATTCGGATAGAGAATATAAGCAGTGACGACCTCAACGTTTGTTATTGACGGTGGCGGTATCGAAATAGTAGTGACAACTGACTCTTGTGGAAATTTATAAATAATAGACGGTGTGTCATCTGGTTGTGGATAAAATGAGATGCCAGTCGAGTTGGGATTTAAATCGGTCACGGTATACGGGGGAATGGCAGATAAAATGGTAACATCTTCTGGAACCAAATCTAACGGTTGATTCATGCCTTGCACTAATGAACAGAAATCAATTGTAGTTGTTGTGGATTGGCCTTGAGTCGTTGTGGTTTGAGGCTGTGGTGTTGTGTTGGTTGTCGAGCATTGTGGATGGTCTTCATCGTCTCCTTTTGGGCAGTGTTTTGTACCGTCGCACATTTGTGTTTGATTAATGCAGGCCCCTCCTAGACAGGTGTATTCTTTTGGTTGGCAGGTGCAGTTTTTTTCGTCGGTGGCGTCGATGCAGTCTTTTGTGCCGTCGCAGACTCGGGATGGGTCGATGCATTGACACACGGTTGCACAGGAGAATTTGTCGGTGCAGGTGCAGTTACAGCCGCGTTCGTCGGAGGCATCGTCGCAATCACTGAAAGCAAGTTCTCAAGTTAGTGATTGTGTCTCAGTGCATAATTTTTTGGCTTTATAGTTACTTGTGTCCGTCGCATTTGTTTTCAATTGGCAAGCAGGTCGGATTTTCCACGCATGTGAAGTATCGTCCGCTCTCTTTGTCGCATTGATCGTGTTCTGTAAAACAAGAGTATTTGTTTCGGAGGCGTTTGTTGATTTGTGGGATATTTTAGTTAGGGTTATATTTGGTGCTCCGTAGTTACTATGTAAGTCGGTGCGAGTTATCAGGTACTTACTGCAATCGGATGTCTCGTCTGAATCATCGCCGACGCCGCAGTCAAGGACACCATCACATACCCATGATTTTGGAATGCATCGTGCATTTTTGCATGAAAATTGATTACAGGGTCGAACATATGCTAGAATAAAATGGGAATTATTGATTATGCGTAGGTGAGCTAAGGGAAAACATACTGCAATTGAGTTCATCAGTCGAATCTCGACAATGGGGAAACCCGTCACAGTGATATGTCGAATTGATACATTGTTCGTTTTCACATATGAAATGATCTTTCGCGCAAACACAGTTAACTTCATCACTGCCATCACTACAATCGTTAATGGTATCGCATTGCCATCTATTTGGTATGCATTCTTTTGTGCCACATTCAAATTCATTGATGGAACAGTTTTGTTGACATGCCTCATCCGTTAGCGTTTTGCACGTAAATGTGGCATTTGCACACTCGCACATCTCGCAACCGCGTACTATTGTACTACCAGATGGATAGTATTTATTATCATATGCACACGTACAGGTATCGAGCGGCACACATTGACCAGATTCATCCATTAGTAAACCATTTGGACAGAAACAACCTTCTACGCACCCAGAGATGGTACAACCGAAATAGTCTTTACCTGAACAGGTATTCGGACAAATGGGACCACATGCCATATAAACTTTACCGTTTTCACATTGCATCGGGCAACGATCTTGTTTACGCCATTTAACAGCAACACCGAGTGTATTGCATTGTTCACCAAATGATGCCAGAGCGGTACAAAGACACTCGCAGTCACCCCCTCTATCACAATTACACGCGTCAAATAGACATTCTTTGTAATGCATGTCTAGTTGTGTTGGATCCATGAGTTCAATACAAGGATTGAACGGATTATCATCTGATTGCGCGCGAATCAAAGCGCATTCGGTTGTTGCCCAATCACGACGCTGATCATGACCCGAGCATGGATCTGAATTATCAACGACGGAGTCGTTTAAATTTGCACATTGAAGTGATGTTTTCCATGAATTGGCCATACTAAATAAGAGATAAAGACGCACAAATAACTAAACCAACAGCAATTTAAATTCAAACTTACTCGACAATTGATGCTGTAATTCCTTGCGCGGTTGTGATATCATCACCGTTATCGTCATTGTAATTTCCGCAAAGACCTTGCATATGACCACGATGTTGTCCAACAACAGTTAAATAAATTCTTGTTGCTTGATCCCATTTAATTAAAAAATCAGGTGAACTAATAACAACAAATACACCACTGACAAACACAGACACATCGCCAAATTTTTGCGGTACAGTGGTGTATGTTTCTAATTCTATTCCATTAAACATCACATTTCGACCACGTACCAAATCAATACTTGCTCCTTTATAATCAATAATAATACTTTTAGTACACGTAACACCCGTCGTACCACACGGTACATTCTCAGCTAACACACTAAATAGATTATTAATTTCCTTTGCTAAATAATATTGGCAATTGCCTTGATACGCATAACGAAATCCGTCGAATGTAGTGTAATGTGGGTCACCAGATGCGATGCATGTTCCATCACACTGATTTTTTGTACATATCCAAGTACCACCAACACATGTGCAATTGTTGCACGACTGACGAATTTCTTCTCCAGTTGAATAACTATGTTCGTTGTAACGACAGGGACACGAGTTTTCTGGAACGCAAGTTACACCATCATGTGTTAGTACATAGCCCTTGATAAAGATGAAAACTTATTTACTTTTGCCTAGTGCTATAGATCTTCAGCTTACTTGTGGACACGCACAACCTTGTTTATATGTTCCACAATCATTGTAACTAATTCGGTTATCACATGTTACTGGACATGTGCTGGCATTTGCAGTAAAAATTTGATTTGCTGGACATTGCATAGTGTCGAGACACTTTTCATCATTACAAATGAATTTTCCTTCAAGACATGTACAATTTGTACATGAGCGAAATACTGTTTGATGAGGTTCAACATTAGTCTGAGTTATCTCATCCCAACATGAACATTGCTCTTTGGCAATGCATGAACGTGAACGTACGTCGTAATAGGTATTCGATGGACACAAACAACCTGTTTACAAGCAAAATATTTTAGAAGCCACAATAATTGCTTTTGTCGTTATATTATATACCTGGTAAGCACTGACTGTCACATGATGATGATGCTAATTGAAGATCGGAACAAGAATAAGCGCAACTAGAAACACATTCGGTATATTTCATTTCGTTGTTACAAGAACCATATGATGATGCTTTACAGCTAGTAGATAATTGTGGACTACTCATCCAATCAATAATAATGCCACGTGATGCACATTCATGAGCGTACGCAGCCAAATGGTAACAGGTGTAAGTATTTTGATAATCCGCTGATAGATCACTGCAAAGATCAGCTGTACAAGACTCAATGTAGAATGACGGATCAAATACACTCGAACATGATGAAAATACGGCATCTTTTAATAATGTCTGACATGTTTCTCTTGCCTTAAGTTCATTCTAAAAAGCATAAAAGCCAGTCCTTTATTGTCATTCGAACTCGAGAAAAATTGACAACACTTACAGCAGGAAACACATTGCAAGCAGTCGTTTGTTTAGGCGTTGTACATGTTGCGGAAGTTTTGTATGCTTCAGCAAAACCAATTAAGTTGGCTTCGATTAGACCGTTCGGTGTGACATAGTCCTAAAGGAGTACAATTAAAATAATAATAACGACTAAGAGTGAAACTCATTGAGCTTACATCACGTGTTATGTAGTTGTATGTTCCACATAAACCTCTTGTCATGTTTATAAAAGTTGGCTGTAACGTAATATACACTCGTAGTCCATCGAAATAGATTGAAAAATCGGGCCCTAAGAAAGTACATCGACTATGAATGTATGTCTTACTCAATCAGAACTGCATTCGCACCTTCAATTCCAACTAAAACTGATGTAGCTAATCGTACGACTAAATCATTCAGTTTATACGGTAGTGCTGGCCCAGCAACACCATTGATGATTATTTGATTTCCTTTTATTGTTACTATATTTTCATAGTGTGACACTATCAATTCATTTGTAGTAATATTTTCTGTACTCGTATACATCACACGTAATTTATTTGAACTATCAGGATTCAAACCCTACAATGAGCAAAAAAGGTCAACAAATATGAAACTACTAGTTTTCATCCTTACTACCTCGAGTAATGAGTACTGACATGCTCCAGTGAGTGTATATTTTTTCTTGTCAAAAGTATCGATGTGTCCATTGCCAAATACAGTACATGTCCGAGCACAAGGAATTTTAGAACAACTCCATGTGCCAATTCGACAGGTACTATAATCGAAAAGTGAGAGAAAGTTCAGCACAATAAAATCTCTTAATCATTGTCCGTACCATTGATTGCAATCACTAGTTATACTATAACCAACTGGATAATACTGTCCACGATAGTAACAGCTACATTGTTGTGGTTGAACACATTGTTGATTCTGTCCCAAATCAAGAACAGTACCATTCGGACAAATACAACCAGGTGAACAATCGGATTTACAATTATCCGTATCAGCAAGTGATTGATTTAAACTCTGACACGTTTTTGGACAATTTGATGCACATTCAACATATTCCATATCGTTTGGACAATTTTTTGCTAAAAAGTAAGCAGGAAAAAACGATTCATATAAATATTTTAAAATAATCTTATTTTCTACGTACGGCATCGATCTTTTGTTCTCCATGATATATCCAAAAAATTATCTGTACATTCGCGTGCTAATGCAGAGTAAGAATTACATAAGGCCGACTGAATTTCTTCTGGATGGTTTTTTGATGTTATACAATAGTCAATTAAACAAGCATTATAAAATCGTTGTGAATCAACCTGAATGCAAGAAATCACAATTTAAGAGTGTTGACTAGAACAATGGAAACATACCACTTGAAGACAGGCTGAAAAAATATCACTGGGATCACTTAATATCTGACATGCTGATGTTGCATTTAGTTGTAACTCAGCTGTTGAACATGCTTGTCCTAGTGACGGTACTTCTGAACACTGTAAAGACAAAAAAATTGTTTTTATGTAGCAAGATGCTTGATGAGAATACATACACTTGTATCCAAGCGCCAGTCGTTTCCAAAAACGGCTGCTGTTGGTGCTACCGTCCCATCAGTTAGTGTGAGATCATCTACAAAACAAGCATAAAATAGTCTACATTAGCACAAATCAAAAAAATGTCACAAACATACCAGAAGTAACTCCGTTGTAATCACCACAGAGACCGGTCACTTGCCCGTTAAAGCTTTCATCAACTGTAACATCGATCACAGTAGCATCGTCCCATTTTACACGAACACCATCAGAATATACAAGACGAGTGTAGTTTCCTCGCCGCTCAATCGTCACACCACTAACTGTTATACCATCGGTATCTCCTAATTGAATATTATTGACAGTCACATTGTGACCAGTAGCAACAACTGTCACCGAGCCAAACAGCATTGAAAGGCTCTAGACAAGAAGGTATGACTTAGTTAAGAATACGGCATCTTTTAATTAGCTCAACTAACCTTGACGCATGTTTCGTATCTGGAGCAGTTTTGCGGTTCAAAATTAACTTGCCAGCTTCTTGTACCAGACAATTTATATTTACAACCACCGGTAAATTCAAAGTGTGTACCATCGAAGGTCCGATAATGGAATAAACCCCAAAGAACACATGTAGCAAATGGTAGAGGAGAATTATCTAAAGTGGATACTGCAACTATAAAACACATTGTACGAAAAATAGTTTCTACGTACCAGCTAGCTGGCTCGAATTTCCATTTGCTACTGAAAAAAGACGAAAAACATAATACACTCTAAAAGTTATGTTGTTCATATGTTCTTACTTTGATCACAATTGCTACCAGTATAATTTGTACAACATTTTGTGATATTTGCTTGTCTAGTAAAGAATCTAATTAATGAAAAACTATGGTTGAATAATGATATTTTCTACCTTGTATATGGACAAGCTGTGGACGAATTTGCACGTCGAGTGATTTCTTGTAATAATTTATCTGAATTTGTTATACCAGCATCTTGAAACGCCTAAATATCAAGGAGAATATTATTTCTGCTCTAGTAATTCTAAAAATGAATTTCTAATAGAGGATGTAGCCTAAAACATCGGTTAGTAATATGAAAAACAGTGCCTTATTAAGCATAAGCCAACGTTACATGAGCCAAACATATCGATCACATGCCTCTTTTTTCATGAGAATTAATCTAATTTGAGTGTCGATACACATATCCTGAGTACAATTCTGAACTCTATTAATTGAAGAATTATTTCGTAAGGTGAAAATTTTTAATAAGAATAATAGGACTAAAGTCACCTTTTTATAACTATTAAACTAAAATATATTTAACTCTATTAAACTATTTAACTCTATTAAACTAAAATTTTGAATTTTGGTAGTGCACGTTGAGTTGATAACATAATGATAAATCAAAAGTATGCTGTTTACTAGAACCCTCTTTCTATGATCCATTCAATGGCTGTAGACTTATTAAGACCAACTAACAGACAAGAGCGTAGTATCCCAAACATGGAGGATCATGTTTTCTTCTAACTTTGCCTAAACCTTTTTTAAAAATTGAACTCTCACGGCTACCTACTCACATGTGTTTTCGCCAAGTACACGTGCAGAAATATTCATTTTTCCAGAAAGGAGAAGATCATATCTAGATGGACCGGAGCTTGATCTATCTGAAAAGCGATTTCTGGGACTTAAACCATCGAAGAGATGATGGAAAGATGATGCTGATGTACTTTTTACTTATGACTTCTATCGTTTTATTTCCACAAAGACATTGCTTCTTTTAAACTTATTTTTAAGCTAAAAGTAACATTTTAGGACACTCACAATAATAAATTTTCTGTTATACTGCAAGGTAACCTCATCTTTGCACTATATAATTCCTATGGTTTCATTACTACTCGTTCTGCAGAGAATCGATGGTCGAGGATCCGCGAGAAAATAAATTCGATTTAGGTCTACTATAATGCCGATCTTGTTAACAATTTTTCCGTGATATTTGTTGGTCCTATATTCATGTGACTTTCGCTAAAATAGAATTTCAACTTATGCCGTAAAAAATCGTGTAAAAACGGTTACAAACTCCGAAGAATTACTCATAATTGATCATAGTAACGAAAATCAAATCTGTTTTCTTTCTTAAAAGCATGAAACTAGGATGGAATCACCGTACTTTAAAGTCAATCCGCCACACAGTAGAATTTTTTGCATATTCATTATCGATATTAAATGTTGCTGGGTTTGGACATATATCATCTTTGTTTACGGATTCTACGGATGTACAAAAATGAGATTCTGTTGATGAACTGGCGGATTGAGAACTAAATGGAGTATAGTAGAAAAGCATAAATATAAACATAAGAGTCAGTCTTTCCAAAAGAAAACTTACGAAATAATTGATACAAGAAAACAACAAGAAAAAGAAAACAAAACATTGATTTTCATCGTTGTTACTGGAGAACTAATCGACATAGTATAATATTTTGATTTTGTTCATAAAAGAGAAACAAAAAAATTGATAATCAAAAAACTAATACCAACAGAACACACGTATATCTACTATACAAGGAAGAGAAGAAAAAGAAGACAACAACGTCGATGGAAACAACAACAAGTGAAATGAAAATATTAAATCACTTTATATAGTGGGAACTTAATAAAAAGAAATTACAATTGAATAAGAGTAGACAGCTTGCCACAAGAGAATATTCGATGAAGAGCATACTTGATGATTAGAATTACGCAGAATTTTCTTATTTTCTTTGTTAATGTACAATGTTTTATCCAAGAGAAAATTCTAAACAGCTGCTTGTTTTGGCGAGTGTGAGAGCTTTTAACAAAGTTTTTAATTACTAAGATGTTCTTTTTTGGATTTGAGAAAATCCATACGGACAGATTTACCTATTCTGAATGAAATTGTACGTCTGAATGTTATTTTACGTATAAAGAATATGAACGCATTGAAAGAATTTAAAACTTCACTATAAAATTGCTTTGAAAATAAAAAAGTGGCTTTATTTCCTATGAATATAACTGAATCTATCTCAAATTGAATTGTATATATCTTGTTTTTGCTCTTTTGTAATTATTTCTTTCTTAAAGTGAATTTTTGAATTCGATATTCACTGTTTATGAATGTATTTGTGTTGCTTAAAGTTATCATCTGCAGACGATTTAGAACTACACGAGGTATTTTTTTAAGGCGAATTTGCCAAATTTTGTTTTTGCAGAAAACATGTATAAACATTGCATCCATACCAGTTTCAAACAGAGGATGGATACTTGTACTTTGGTTTAAATTTAATTTATTTGAAATCACAGCATCACGCCATCTACTAACAAAGCACGCATTATTAGCACAAATTATTAATTGCAATACACAATCACAGTTCATGGTGGGGAGTAACCAAAAAAATTGAATAAAAAAGATAATATGATCATATAAATAGGGGCTACTCGATGTGAGAAGAAAGTGAGAATTGATAAGCTGACTTAGTGAAATCTTTTTTGTTTCTTCAATAAAGAGATTCGCACTCTCAAATATCACTTTCGGTGCTTTTTAAGTACCAGTTAGTACTACGTGCGCTTGAGGTAGGTCGTTTGTTAATCTGAGCTGTAGATTCGATCTAGGGAACTATTCTCTTTAATTCTGTGCAACTTTCAAGTTTTTATCTACCTCGGTTGGCATAATATAAGGTTTTTCCGAGGTCCTATCCATCGGCTAAATTTCATGTTTAAAAACGCCGAAACCACATGGGACATAGGTTATCAACACTCCTAACTCTTGTGGCAATATTGATTTGTCGGAGAAAATTCAAAAACCTAGCGAAAACCTATATTAGATAAAATAAGCTATTTTTGTTTGTTTTCACGTAAAATTACAAAAATTCGTAACTCAGCCAAAATCGATAAAAATCTATGTCAGGATATCAAGGTATACTTGATTTTTTCTGCTCAGTATGATTCTGCAGTTAAGATTAGAAAAAATTATTTTATGACTACTGTTTTCACGTAAAATTAGAAAATTCATAACTCAGTCGAAATCGATACAAACTATGTCAGGATATCGAGATATACTCGATTGTATCTATACTATATCATACAAGTCAATACAGCTTTTAAAAATAAATAGAAACTACTTTGGTTTTTAAGAGAATTTTCTGGAAGCCTTCAGTAATCAGAAAATATTTTTTACTAATCTTAACTGCAGAACCATACTAAGCATCATCCTAGATTTCGAAATTTTTAATATACACATACATGGAAGAATTCACAATTTCATTGAAAAGAGAAGGGATGTTAAAATGTATTCAATAAGCAGAATAATAATCACAATAAGCAGAAAGAAGAATCGCTAATTACTCCGCTAAAATTACTGCAAGCTTCTTTATAGTATTTACTGCTCCTTATCTTTTATGTATTTGCCTAAAGAAGGTTTTACTCTGCTGTTGTCACCTAAGCACTTAGTCTCAAAAATGTATGAGTGTTGTTTTTTTTACTTATCGATACTGTGAAAAGTTACTGCTCAAACACGTGCCGTACTGTTCGCACCTTTTATATTTCGTTTTTCTATCTTTTCAAAGGCATTCAGCATTTCAATATTGTTGAGTATATTTAAGTGACTGTTAAACATACTTAAGCATTGTTTGAGCACTATTGAGTACATTTTTTAATAATCTCTCTCTCTCTGTTAATATGACTATGAAAATTTATTTTATTGTTTTATCTCTTGTTTTAATTTGTTAAGCTGTATCTTACTCTTTTGTTTATAATCTCTTTTTGTCTGAGATGTCAGCTTATTTACTACTTACAAACACTCTTTTTTAAACTAAAAATAGGGTAAAAAATCAACAGTTGCTTGAATAACACAGGTTAGGACCGCTCGCAGTGGCGGTCCGAACGAGAGGGCAGGCGGGAGTATCCCCCTCCTGTTTTTTAAAATTTTGAGAAAATTTTTTCCGGTTTTGTGGAAAAAAGAAAACAGTTTTCTCCGTTTTTGGAGAAAATTCTGAAGCAATTTTCTTCGTTTTTACATATGATCTTTTACGAAAAACGGAGAAAACGCTCATTCTAAAGAGAAAAAATGCCAGTCAGAGGAACAGCAAACAGAGTCGAAGTGTAAAGTGAACCATTATTTATTGGTTCATTTCGTCGCGTTATGACACATATGATTTACTACGATGTTTGTTTATTTATTTTTGGAAACCGAAGCGGAATAGCAGTACAATCAAACGCTTTTTACTGTAGAAATTTGACAGAAAAATATAGACTACAAGTTTTTAAGTGACTTTCTCTAAATTTTAGATGTCTTAAACGATTGTATTTCAGTAATTTACATTATAGGCAAAGATTTTCCAGACTTACTCAGTTCTAGCTGTCATCAGAGAAGCGTCCCGCTTTTTCCCGTTACTATATCTTCTCGCTTTAGATGAACAGTTCTTCAACGGGCAAATGCCTTCTTTGCCAGAGAGAAGTCATGTTGAAAAATTTCAAACGACATTGTGAATCAAAACATACCAGTGTGAATTTCGATGAAAAATTTCAAAAACAGTATGATAAAATGAAACAGAGTATGAACAGTAACAACAACAACAGTCTCTTTCCACACGATATACCGCAGCCACAGCCATTTATTCCAGAAACTGTGCTCACTGAAACTCAACAAAACAGAACAGGTTTCATCACTTCCTTCAGATTATTATCACAGTACAAACAGTTCAACTTCACAGGAGAATGAAATACCAACTAAACGTCAACGCCGTCTGTCGTCGATTAGTGAATCTAATATCATCTCACAGATAGATATTGAATCTAATAATTTTTCACAAAATGACGATGAATTACATAATATAACTCTGCCTATCACCGAATCTACAAGTACTGAAACTGCACTTTATACCTCGTCCTCTTCAACCAAAGAAATCGATCCTTCGCACATTAAAAACTCTAAGAACGTAACTGCTGCTAAACTACGTCGAATTATAATCGAAAGTAAATCAGCAGAACCTCTTATTGAATCGGCGACAGATCTTATAATTAGTGACAAGTCATTCATTTCTCAGGTCAGTAGTGGCAGATCTTTTTTCAAGATTCTTTTTATTTGTTTATCGCATTGTTTTTTTCAGTTTTAGTCCATACATTTTCTTGAGTCAATGAAACAAAATATTGAAAATTTATTAGAACAGTGTACATCTTTGGCTGGACAACTGCCGTCTTCTTCTTCATCGCCATCAGATATACAAAACATTGAGAAAACAATAGAGCGAGATCCATCTCATTCGCAGCAGCTTACAGAAACAGATCTTCGTTTTCTAGTGTAGCAAGGCCCTTATCAACCAATACTTCAACATTATTCTGAAAATAAAGAATTGCAATTAAAAAAAAATACATCTAAATTCAATAAAAATTTGTATTCTCAATTTCCAATGATTGAATATAGCCCATTGACAAATAGAATTTACTATTTTCCCTGTCGTCTGTTTTCTTCAGGACCAGGAAGTGGCCAAGAAGAAAATAGTTAGACAAAAAACGGAGTTAACCAATGGAACAAACTCACAGGTGGCCAGTGCTGAAGACGTTTTTCCGTTATAATGTTATATTGACTTTTTGTTAATTTTAGGAAGTCAAGGAAAAAATAGAAGTGGAAAGCTGCAGGTGCATTTT